TCCACTCACCTCAGCCTCCCAAAGCACAGGATTACAGGCTGAGCCACCAAGCCCGGCTTCATGTATAGTTCTAATTCATTCCTTTTAACTATTGTATGATATTCCATTTATATTTATTTATTTCCTCATTGGTGTTCATTGATGTTTTACTATTTTCATATTGCAAATAATAGCATAGTGAACATTCTAGAGCAATGTATTTTGCATATGTGGTGGGTTTATTCCTCTGGGCTCATATCTACAAATGAAACTGTTGGAGATGTGGCATTTCAGTTGCCTGTCAGATTACCTTTTGAGTCATCTCTCCCTTTTATTAAATACTTATAATTATTTCCTAGTTGTGAGCTCTGTCTTTCTAGTCTCATCTCACTCACATCCTCAACACTTTTACCAGGATCTTTATAATTCAAAGACAATCCTATGATTGTCTGTTTTTGAAATCTTTCAATGATTTATCATTACTTATAGGAGAAATTTAGGAGTACCTACTATGACATAAAAAAGCCCTTTAACTTAATTTTCTCTAATTTAGTTGAGCACCATTCACCCAACATTCACTGATGTTTCAGATGTATTAGATAATGTTGAAAAGGGGAGATCAATTCTGTGTAAGCCCCAACAAATAATTTATATAGGGAGAAAACAGTTTTAATAGTAGTCCTATTTTGTTGCTAAGTTAATTTACTTAGGTTACCAATGCCATATATATTGGAAAAACATCTACCAGTATCATGTTCATAATATTATGTTCATTATAATGAGGTGCAATTTTTAGTTGAATGTCTTATTCTACCTTTTCCCCAAAGATATTTACTCTTGGTAAGGTTTCTTAAACTTTTTTGGACTTCATCTGCAGATTGAGTGCTCTTCTAAGATATTCCTGAACCACCCTGATTGTTTATTTAGAGTTGTGAAATTTCTAGTGCAAAATGAATTTGTTGGCATTTATTTTTATTTTATTTTATTTTTTTGAGTTGGAGTCTCACTCTGACACCCAGACTGGAGTGCAGGGGCCGCTCCTAGCCACCGCAGCCTAGACTTGCTGGGCTCCAGCGATCCTTCCGCTTCGGCCTTCCAAGGAGCTGGAACTACAGGTGTGCACTACCACACCCGGCTAATTTTTTGATTTATTGTAGAGATGAGGGCTGGCCAAGTTGCCCAGGCGGGTCTCGAACCCACAGGCTCAGGCAGTCCACTCACCTCAGCCTGCCAAGGCGCGGGATTACAGGCTGAGCCACCGAGCCCAGCTTTGTTGGCATTTAAAGGGAGCATCATGTTTATTGAGGGGGAGGAGAGTAAAGAAGAGTAGATGATGATTATAATTTATTGCCAACCTATTATTTTATGTTACCATGTACCTATATGTATTATCATTTCGCTAGTATACATACACATGTGTTTTAATTTTATATATAAAATATATACAGCTGGGCTCGGTGGCTCAGCCTGTAATCCCGCGCCTTTGGGAGGCTGAGGTGAGTGGATTGCCTGAACCCGCAGGTTCGAGACCCGCCTGGCAACTTGGCGAGACCTCATCTCTACAATAAATCAAAAATTAGCCGGGCGTGGTAGCGGGCGCCTGTAATTCCGGCTACTTGGAAGGCTGAGGCGGAAGGATCGCGGAGCCCAGCAGGTCGAGGCTGCGGTGGTCAGGAGCGGCCACGGCACTCCAGTCTGGGCGACAGAGTGAGACTCCAACTCATAAATAAATAAATAAATAAATAAATAAATAAATAAATAAATAAATAAAATAGATACAGTCAACTTTGATGTATGGTAACATAGAGCAGAAAAAGTTCAAATTTATTACGTAGTATTTTATAAATAATCTGCTTCCAAATCTTCACTCCCTTTCCACACCCATAACTGCAAACAGGAGGTAAAACTTAACTGATGTGAGTTAACCTATTTTCTTCTGCAGCCACTTTTTTTTTTTTTTTTTTGAGTTGGAGTCTCACTCTGTCGCCCAGACTGGAGTGCAATGGCCGCCCCTGGCAACCGCAGCCTCGACCTACTGGGCTCCGGCGATCCTTCCGCCTCAGCCTTCCAGGTAGCCGGAATTGCAGGCGCGCGCTACCACGCCTGGCTAATTTTTTGATTTATTGTAGAGATGAGGTCTTGCTGCCCCGGCGGGTCTCGAACCTGCGGGCTCAGGAAATCCACTCACCTCAGCCTCCCAAAGGCGCGAGATTACAGGCTGAGCCACGGAGCCCGGCTGCAGCCACTTTTGTAATGATAGCAAGTAAAAAGTCAAATAGCCAACAGGCTAGAAGAGTAAACCTGGTGCCCCAATTGTCAGGGTTTGATTGATCAAGAATTGCTTATGTTGAATTAAGAACCTCTAAATTGAACTTAGTTTGACTTGTTTTGATGTATTTCTGCCTTTAAAAAAAGTACTACCTTTTCATGGGCCTGCAGATTTTGTGAATATATGTCAAGAACCTTTTTTTTTTTTTTTTTTTTTTTTATTTTATTTTTTTATTTTAATTTTTATTTTTGAGTTGGAGTCTCACTCTGTCGCCCAGTAGAACCTTTAAAATAAACGTTACAGTGACAATATGTAAGGTCTACTCACTTGGCAGTTATACTTAAGTGAAGATTGGGAAAAAGTTAAAATTAAATTCATTTTAGTAAGTTCGATCTAATTAAAATCACATTAAAACCAAAAGAAATTAAAAACATTGCATCAGTATAAAATATAACATATATATATACACACATATGTTAAGTCTTACAATTACATAAAGTTTGAGAAAAAATATTTGTCTTCGTGAATTAATATATGACTAGCATCTAATTTAACTCTAAAGGTGGTCCATCTAAAATAACTTATTTGAAAATGTGCGTGGTTTTGCAATGGTATTTAATACTCAAAAATAGTTACTTTTCACTTAATAGTCATTTATATTTTTAGACCTGTTTGAGTCTAAGTTCATGAAAATAAGTTTGCTTTTTGCCTGGAGATCACATTAAAAGCTGGTTGGATTAGGAGTATATAACGGAGTTTTGAATGCCATGCTAAGCTTCATAACAATGGTTTGCAACCTACTTTCACTATACCATTCCTATGTTCAATACACTGTCTTACCAGATAGTAATTCAAGGATCATAGGTTTATTGAGAAGGGGTGGGGGGACATGCACGTTTTTAAATTAGGGGATGGACAATGAGAGGATCAAGTGTGTGTTTTTAGAATAAGTAACTGAAGTAGCATAAACAAATTGATACATCAGAGGGAAGAAAGAGTAGGGTAAGGAAGACTAAGAAGCTTTTACTTCAGTCTGAGAGATGAAAGCCTGAACTATAGTAGTGGCACCTGAAACTGAGAGTTGGAAGTTAGAAGTTTCTAACTTAGGGAATGTATTGATGACATTAAAAGAATAGAATGTAAGGGGTCTAATTTTCCTAAATTCTGGCCATTTAACAATCAGATTCTCCTTATTCCTATCATACTCAGGTTATTGGTAGGTGACTAGAGCTTTGTGCTTATTGCACTTTACTTGTGACATTTAATATTAAAATAAAATAAAATCCTTACAGAAGTTCTTTTTGGTTGTTTTTAATATTAAGAAATCTGAAAACCTTTGAGTAGGTAGTAAAAGGTGATGAATCCTTAGATCTTTACCTCAGAGTATATTATTTTAATGCCTTTCTGGAAATCTAGGAAACTTTACATGTCTGTGTGGAATTTGAAATATATTATTATTCATACATCTTGATGTATTATTACATGCTTATTTTCTTTAAAATAAGTGATAGCTTCATAGGTGAAAGCCACACCTTTTATTTATCTACCTATCTTCTTTACTGATGAAACTGAAACTACTTTGTGATACCTGTTGTCTCAGTTTACATTTATTGCCTAACAACAGACCAGTAAGCCAGTGACTTCTATTTTTTTCTGTTTTTTACTTATTTTTCTTGACACATTGTAATTGTACATATCTATGGGATACAATTTGATGTATCAATACACATATATATTGTATAATGACCAAGTAAGGGTATTTAATGTATTCATTACCACATTCATTTACCATTTCTTTGTGGTGAGAACTTTCAAAAACTTCTAGCTAGTTTGTAAAAAATTATACCTTACTGTTACCTATCCTTACCCTACTGTGCAATAGAATAGCAGAACTTATTCCTCCTATCTTATTGTCACTTTGTACCTTTTGACCAACCTCTCCCTATCCTCTCTTCCCTCCCCATCTGTGGTAACTACTGTTCTACTCTATACTTCTATGATATGAACTTTTTTTAAAGGTTTCATATATGAGTGAGATCATACAGTATTTGTCTTTCTGTGTCTGGCTTCTTTCACTTAGCATGTCCTCCAAGTTCATCCATGTTGTCACAAATGCTAGAATTTCATTTATCTTATGGCCGAATAGTATACCATTGTATATATGTGTGTGTGTGTGTGTGTGTGTATATATATATACACACACACAATGGTATATATATAGTGTGTATATATATGTACTATATATATATACACACACATACATATGTATGTGTATATATATATATATACACATTACATTTTCTTTATCCATTTATTCATTGTTGGATACTTGGGTGGATTCTATTTTAGCTGTTGTAAATAGTGCTGAATAAACATGGAAGTGTAGATATCTCTGTTATACACCAATTTCATTTCCTTTGGATATAGGCCCAATAGAGGAATTACTGGATCATATGGTAGTTCTGTTTTTCATTTTTTGAGAAACCTCCATGCTGTTTTCCATAGTACTAATTTACATTCCCACCAACAGTGTGTAAGTGTTCCTTTTTTCCCAACATTTGTTATCATTTGTCTTTTTGATAATAGTCATTGTAATTGGAATGAGGTAATATCTAATTGTGGTTTTTGATTTGAAACTCCCAGACTACAGCCATACCACCCTTAGGGTGCCTGATCTTGTCTGAGTTGCATCTCCCTGATGATTAGTGATATTGATTATTTTTGTATGTACCTGTTGTTCATTTGTGTCTCTTCTTTTGAGAGAAGTCTAAGTTCTTTTGTCCATTTTTTATCGAGATTTTGTATGTTAACTTGTATATTTTAGATATTAAGCTTGTTATATTATAGCTTAAAATATTTTCTTCCATTATGTAGGTTGTTTCTTCACTCTATTTTCTTTGTTGTGCAAAGGCTTTTTAGTTTCATATAACCTCGTTTGTTTATTTTTGCTTTTGTTGCCTGTGCTTTTGAGATCTTAAAAAATCTTTGCCCAGCCCAATGTAATAAAGTATTTACCCTATGTTTTCTTCTAGTAGCTTCATGGTTTTAGGCTTTACGTTTAAATCTTTAATCCATGTTGAGTTGAATTTGGATATGGTGAGAGATGGGAGTCTAGTCTCATTCTTCTGCATGTGGATAGCCAATTTTCTTAACACTATCTATTGAAGAGACTATCCTTTCGTGAGCATGTATTCTTGGCACCTTTGTCAAAAATTAGTTGGCTGTAGATGCATGCATTTATTTATGACCTCTCTATTGTGTTCCATTGATCCATGTGTCTGTTTTTATGCCAGTTCCATGCTATTTTAGTTACTATAGTTTTGTTGTATATTTTGAAGTCAGGTAGTGTGATGCTTCCAGGTTTGTTCTTTTCTTTTTTTTTCAGTATTGCTTTGGCTATTCAGAATCTTTTGTGGTTCTGTATGAATTTTAAGATTTTTTTCTTTTTATGTGAAGAATGTCATTGGTATTTTGACAGACACTATATTAAGTCTATAGATTGCTTTGGAAAGTATAGCAAATTTAACAATATTAATCCTTTCAATCCCTGAACATGGGATATCTTTCCATTTGTGTCATCTTAAATCTCTCATCAGCATGCTATAGTTTTTCGTGTAGAGATCTGTTGTCTCCATGGTTAAGTTTATTTCTGTGTATTTTTTTCCTAAGCTACTATAAATTGAATCATTTTCTTTATTTCTTTTTCAGATAGTTTGCTATTTGCATGTAGAAATGCTACAGATTTTTATATGTTGATTTTATATCCTGTGACTTTACTGAATTTATTATTTATAATAGTGTTTTGGTGGATTTATTAGTGTTTTCTATCTATAGGATTTTTTTTTTTTTTTTTGAGTTGGAGTCTCACTCTGTCACCCAGACTGGAGTGCAGTGGCCGCTCCCGGCCACTGCAGCCTCGACCTGCTGGGCTCCGGTGATCCTTCCACGTCAGCCTTCCAAGTAGCCGGAATTACAGGCATGCGCTACCACGCCCGGCTGATTTTTTGATTTATTGTAGAGATGAGGTCTCGCTGCCCAGGCGGGTCTCGAACCCACGGGCTCAGGCAATCCACTCACCTCAGCCTCCCAAAGGTGCGGGATTACAGGCTGAGCCACCGAGCCCGGCTATCTATAAGATTATACTATCTGCAAACAGGGACAATTTGACTTTCTCCTTTCCAATTTGTATGCCTTTTTTTCCTCTTGCCTAATTAATCTGGCTAGGATTTCTAATAAGTAGTGTTTATTACACTGAATAAAGAGAAATCAACATTTTTTTATATGTGTGTTCAGTATACAGGATCTTCTTTTGTTATTTATTTAACTAATTGTCTCATGTTTCCTTTCTTCTAACCAGTTTGTTCAGAATAAGGGAATGCATACCAGGATGGTGTGGTGGTCAAAAGGAGTCAGAGTGCCCCTTTTCCAAACTAGCACCATTGCCAATTATTAACAACTGTGGATTCGTGTTGTAACCTTGGAAACTTTTCTTACCTTCTTTAAAATAAGGTTTTCTTAAATGAAATCATGCTTGTATTGTACCTGGTATAACATAAGTATGAATGATTGATAGCTATTATTTATTCTTCTTTTCATTATAATAAGTTGTGTCAATCTTCTATTTTTTTCATAAGTTGAAATAAGAATGTTGACTTAGGTCATACAAATGCGTTGTTTTTATAAAGTAAGATTTATTCCTCTTACTCCTATGGAGATTTTTAAAGCCTTGTTATAGCATCTCCTATTTTTTTTTCTGAAGCTTCTCTTTTGTCATAGAGCCTGTACAAGCTACTGTGTTCAGGAAGCAGGAGGCCGAGTGCCTGGGTTGTGGAGAAATCTAATTAAAGAATCATCATGTTTGGGAAGAAACTGAGCTCCAAGACAAGTAAACCATTGACTAACTGAATCATCATTCTAAAGGAGTTAAGTCAGAGAGTGGGAAACCACATTAGAGTTGTTAGGTTTGAAACAGAGAAGTATTACCCTTAATAAATTTTCTGAGCCTGCAAGAATATCTGAAGTCACTTTTAATAAAGCTTCTAAAGCTTTAAATACATGCTGGTAACACATTCAGGTATCTTTTTTGATATGGTTATTTGTATTAGCAAATTGTTTTTTAAGGAATCGAAAGAAATAATGTTTTGGATATTTTTTTCAGTAAGTGTGACATTGTCAAAATAGTACAAAAAGCTTAAAATGTTTACATAATAAAATTTATAATTACCCATGTGATCGTTCTCTAACAGAAATTTGTGTTTTCAATTCTTCCTGCTTCATGTCAGTTTTTTTTCATTTCTTTTTTAGGTTTAAAAGCATCAACTGGAATCAATTTGCATTTGAAAATTAGATCAACACAAAGACTTGATATTGTGGAATGAGTAGCAAACAAGCAATGTCATCTAACAAAAAGGAAAGGCTCTTGTGTTATAATGGAGAAATTCTTGTTTTCAAGCTGTCTGAAGAGCATTTTGTAGATAAAGAGCCTGCAAAAACACCCATATTACATGTCAAAAGAATGGTATTTGACAGAGAAGCAAGAACTTTTGTTCAGAAGTCCACTGGATTTTTTAGCATAAAAGAAGAAAACTCTTATTTAAAAATTATATGTTGCAGTTTTGTGTCAGATTGCAGAACTAGAATTAACCTCCCTTATGTTGTGATACAAAGCAATAAAAATGATAAGGTTTTCAAATATTTTCTCCTATTTCTTCACAGTACCAATAAGTTTGAAAGGCGTTTAGTTTTTAAGCTAGACTATGAATTGAACGATGGCTTAAGAATCCTTAATGGCCCTTTAGTATTATGGAGACATGCCAAAACATTCTTCTGTCTCACTCCCCAAACTGGCAAAATTATTAGTGTGTCAGGTAAATTTTCCTCTATTGAGTGGGCAGGGGAGATTGAAAATTTAGGTATAGTTTTACTGGGATTAAAGGAATGTTATTATTCCAAGGAAGGATGTACCCAAGAGCCTTCAAAATCAGATTATGCAATTCGGGATACCAAATTTTGTGTATACTCTCTTGAAAGTCAAGAAATATTAAGTGATGCGTATATTATCCCTCCTGCATATAGCAGTGTGGTGACTTGTGTACATGTCTGTGCAGCTGAAGTAATCAACAACCAGTTAAGAATGTCTCTGATTGCCCTTACTCAAAAGAATCAGCTGATTTCATTTAAAAATGGGACTCCTAAATTTGTGTGCCAACTTCCATTTGGAGATCCTTGTGCAGTTCAACTTATGGATTCAGGTGGAGGAAACCTCTTTTTCATAGTATCCTTTAGATCAAGTAATGCTTGTGCTGTTTGGAAAGAGAACTTTCAGGTATAATACTTATTCTCCTAATAATTCAATTGGTGGTCTTAGACATTCTAAACATTCCTACATTTCATAGAGCTTGTCCTGGAGTCTTATTAATTATGTAAGTCAATTACTAGTGCTGCACTTAAAATCATATATATTACATTGTTCTTTTTTCTTAAAATTGTCTGAATACTACCTAATGATTTTTTTTTGCCTTGCCATTTTGAGTCATAGTCTTTAAGTTGTTTGAAATTTATAAGTAAATATATAGTAACAATTGCTTATTTATTTGTCTTTTATGTAACTATTTCTACTCTTTAACGTGATAATAATTAGATGTATATTTTTTACTTACAGTGTGGTTATTATTGAGTTAACTAGATAAGACTTTCTAGAAAGCTTGTCAGTTTTTCACATTTTTAAATGTTGATAATTATCTATTTAAACTTAATTGTCTCTGATTTATTTATTTATTTATTTGTTTATTTATTGAGTTGGAGTCTTACTCTGTCGCCCAGACTGCAGTGCAGTGGCCGCTCCTGGCTACTGCAGCCTCGACCTGCTGGGCTCCAGCGATCCTTCCGCCCAGCCTTCCGAGTAGCCGGAATTACAGGCATGCGCTACCATGCCTGGCTGATTTTTTGATTTTATTGTAGAGATGAGGTCTCGCCAAGTTGCCCAGGCGGGTCTGGAACCAATCCACTCCTTGAAATGTATCACTGTCCTATAGATACAAATAGCCCTTCTCCAGAGAGACAAGTTACCACTTGTAACCTGTGTTTCTTTTTCTAAAAACTGTTGCTGAAAGATTTTTATTATGTTATATTTGGAAACTCAGGGCTGACCTTTGAGCAAGTTTCCACAATTTATAGTCTTATCTTTTAATGTAAATTTGAAGTTGCTATAAGATATCAGTATTGATTGCCAAATAGCAGGTAAAAAGGCACAGAAAATCAGTAGAAAATTAGAGGTTTGTCACTGGAGTCCACCAATAATATTTGTCTGATTTTGATATTTTTGGAGGGGATAATGTATTCTCCTGCTTAAAATGTATTCAATTTTGTGATTCAAAGTGTTTATGAATGAAGACAAATAGTCATAACTAGTCAGAAATAACTCTTCCAAGAATATTTTAGTACACTATACAATTTTTAAAGGTTTTATGCTACTTTGCAAAAGAAAGGAAATACTACCTTATTTTGTGTGCCTGTCTGCTTAATTAGAAGCTTAATGGATTATTGATAAAAGTTTTAGAAAGTTTGAAATGAATTTTTAAATGTGAATAGTCATTTTATGTGTGGAGGGGGAATATCAAGTTGGAATTTTATTTTATTGGGCTTTATGTTAACAGAGATACTTTCAATCTCTGTAATACATATTCAACCTCTATAATACATAGAAGACTTAAATTCTCAAAAGGAAAATAATTTGAAAGCCATCCTATTTGATTTTGAAAGCTCTTTTAAAAGCACATTGTATATTTATTTGGAAGCTATTGATAAATGTCTTTCTATTCTCTTTTCAAGAAATGGTAGGAGAAAGACATCTGGTATACCCTGCAAGAACACATTTAACCTTTAGGAATGCATTTAGTTCTTGTGAACTCATTTTCCTCCTTTATGAAATTTAGGATCATCCTATCTCTGAGAGAATCATTAAATAAGTCGAATGACATTGTAGAGTGTCTTGCCTAAAGCTGGGCACATAGGAGGAGCTTAGTAAGCAGTAACTATTATTATGTTAGACAAGGGCCAGGGCTGTCATCCATTCCTTGTACCTACCCAAGGTCCTCTTCACCTGGATAATGGAAAACAATTCCCTTGCATCTCATTAATTGAGTGAAATATAGTCCTCACTTCACTCCCTTGAAGTAGGTTCCCTGCTTAGACACCGTAAAGCTCTGCTACTAGCATGTTACCCAAGGCTGAGCATTGCATCATTCCCTGTAGTTGGGATTTGTTACTGCTGCCTCCCAGACTTTATGGAGTTTAGAATAAAGTAGTTGGTTACTTTAAAAATAAGAATGAAAGCCAAGAATCTAGAAATAAAGGCAGAGTGGGTATAATCATATCAGAAAACCTAGGTTAAGAGAAGTAATGGCATTTGAGCAATTATACTTAATTTAGCAGTTAAGAGAAAAAGGTAAATATGATGGCTTTTACAATTGAATGTAACATACTGCAAGGGCAGTTTTTTTTCCCCCTAACATTGAGTTCTGAGAGGAATTTGCTGTGTTTTTTGTTGGTTTGTATGTTTTTGTTTTTTGTTGTTTTTGAGTTGGAGTCTCACTCTGTTGCCTAGGCTGGAGTGCAGTGGCATGCTCATGGCTACCCCAGCCTCGACCTGCTGGACTCAGGTGATCTTTCCACCTCAGCCTTCCAAGCACTTGGAGCCACAGGTGTACTCCACCATGCCCGGCTAATATTTTGATTTATTGTAGAGATGAGTCTTGCCAAGTTGCCTAGTCTGGTCTCAAACCTATGGACTCAAGGTGTCTTCCCAATTCTGCCTCCGAAAGTGTTGGGATTACAGGCGTTAACCACCATACCCAGCTTGTTTGAGGTTTTTTAAAAAGAGGATTTAGATAGATAAGAAAATGAATACTTTATTAAATAAGAAAATAGGTCTTTGGTAGCAGTTTTACCCTAAAACAGAATGCATGGGAAGTCTTCCTTTCAGTTTGCTATGGATCCATCCATCCTTTTACTACCTTATTCCCAGAAGAAATTAAGTCAACTTACAAAGATAGGTAAAATACAAGCATGAATTAGAGTTAAATAATAAAAATCAAGATTATTATGTTCCCAGATCAGCTCTTCATAAAAGCCTGAGGTATAATGCTTAATCCGATGATAGGACTTGAAACACTGCTGAGTCTAGAGTAGTACATAATTAGCTTTTCTCTTTTTAGGCTTTCTGTCAAGTAGAAATTGTCTTTGCAAGTTTCAACAAGGATTTATGTAGCAGACATTTAGAAATTGAGGTCATTTATACCTGAAGCATAAATATTGGTATGTTGTCAGTAGAAAAAGGCTAATGTGTTGTATAGTTGTACTGTCTAATGCAATAACCACTAGTCACTTGTAGTTATTCAACATTTGAAATGTGGCTAGTCTGAATTAAAATGTGCTATAAATGTCAAATACACACCAGATTTCAAAGACTTGCTAAAAAAGAAAAATAACATATCTCAACAATTTGTTAGTATATTGAATCAAAATGACAGTATTTTAGATATATTGGGTTAAATATATTAAAATTATTTTCACCTTTTCAATGCTACTAGAAAACTTAAGATTATATATGTTTACATGTATAATTTCTATTTGACAGCACTGTCCTAGAGCTATAGTTTGCAAATATGTATGTGCATATATGCATGAATACATAGTTTTGCGGTGCTTGCATGTTGAGCACATTTTTATTATTAATGCCTCTTCCTAGAGTTCTTTATATTCCATAATACTCATGGGAGGAAAGGAGGATAATGCCTTTCTGTACAAGTGAAGAATCACAGCTGTAGAAATTATCCTTATGGGGCAAGATTGATACTTAGTTATATGAAGAATCTTTCTTACATTCTTGCTCAAATGCAAGCTATCCTCCTAAATCATTTAGGTGATGTATCTGTGCTTCTGGGATTCTGAGTGGGAGTTTTAGCTTTTCTGCCTCAAGGAATAGGGAGATCTGATCCTCATGCTATTAGTTTTCCAGGGTACCAATCTGGAGGCTTTCAGCTGTATGGACCTTTAAGGATGTTGTCTTCTATATGAAGCTTGAGGTCTCATATTCTGGTATAAACTTATCATATCATTCCATTAGGCTATAATGGTTCTAGGTGTTCTACTATTAGAACCCTTTACCTTCTGTGCACCTGATAATAGCAATATTCCCCCTCCGATACCCACACCAGGGTTTAAAGTATAAAGTTAATCTTAACTCTTTTATAGATTATTCTGCATTATGAGTTCTTATAGTATCTACTAGTACATTCTGGTTGCTTAATGCAACTGAATTCTTTGGGTAATTGGTCTGATCATAAATACATATCCACTAAGACTTATGAGAAAGAGGATCATCCTTAAATTAGCTGTGCAAGAGAACGAAACTTCACTAGAGTTTTACTCATGATAATTGTTGAATTTCCAAAATATTTAATCATGAGAGGTGTTAGAATTTATTTAGAAATAAAAAAATTAGCTAGGTGTGGTGATGTGCACCTGTAGCCCAGCTACTCAGGAGACTGACATAGAAGGATCATTTGAGCCCAGGAGTTGGAGACTGCAGTGAGCCATGATCGTGCCACTGTCTTCCAGCCCAGGTGACAGAATAAGACCCTATCTCAAAAAAAGAAATCAAGAACATGACAGTCCCTGGACAAACACTAATAAAATATTGTATCTAAGTACTTTGGTATTTATATATAAAGTTATAACTCCTTATGTTTTCTGATCCCTCAATATCTTTATTTCCTTTCAGTGTTTACATTATCATTTTCATTACTTATTTATAAGATTGAGGATAACAAATTACAACTATATGAAGCAAAAGGACTTATAAGTTTATCTCATGTTTGATTTTTTTGTTCTTATGTACTCCTCTGATACTCTCTTTCTTTCAGGTTGCTGCTAAGTGGGAAAAACTTAGCTTAGTACTGATAGATGACTTTGTTGGAAGTGGAACTGAACAGGTACTGCTACTTTTTAAGGACTCCTTGAACTCAGATTGCCTGGCTTCATTTAAAATAACAAATCTTGGGAGCATAAACTATTCAGTAAGTTCTGTTTACTTATTATATATTACTTTAGGAACCATTTTAGAAAATTTAAGGGTACTTTGCAGCAACTTGGATGGATTTAGAGTCCTTCGTACTCAATGATCTATCCCAGAAACAAAGAACTGAGTACCACATGTTCTCACTCCTAAGTGGACTCTGAACATTTGTCATAATACTACAAGAAAGGGATTGCCAGTAGCAGGTCACTGCAGGGAAGGGGGAGGCACATAACACTAATAAGGTACCTGATCCTAAACCAGGAGAAGTGGGGACCAATGGGAGGCCCAAACTCTACCTGTACGACGACCACTTATGTACCCTAACCTGAATTGTACCCCACATCTTTAAAATAAAAAGATTTCTTAAATGCTTTTGATTCATCATTTAAATATTTGTGATTTTATACTTAAACTACTGAACTTTAAAAATACATAGATAGAATCTTTTTAATATATACATCAAATTTCCTTTCAACAAATATTCAAGTTGACTTTTTGATGTAAATTTGGAGTACAGTATATCTAGTGGTCACTCAAGTAACAGTAATATTATGTTTATTGTTGCCTCTGAAAATCACGTCTTATACCAAAAACATGATAATAGTGGATTAATTAAGAAATAAAATGAAGCAAACCTGCTTAATTGAAGAAAGTAACAGTTTAAAATATCTTGAGATCTTGGGCATAAGGGAAATTATGCCCCTGAAGTTTTTTTTAATTTTGTAAAGTGAGGATAATTCTTATTTTTCCTAGTTATGGGATTTTAGGATTTTATAAAAAGCTAATGAGCTGATAGTTTGTAAAGCAGTACATAAATATTAGGTGGTAGTAGTAGGAATCATAAATGTTTTCTAGTCACAAGAAGATGATAAGGAAATATATATATGTAATTTGCCTGTATTTGTCCATATTGTGTCACTATAAAGGAATACCTGAGACTGGGTGATATATAAAGAAAAAAGGTTTATTTGGCTCATAGTTCTATAGGCTGTACAAGAAGTATGGCACCAGCATCTGCTTCTAGTGAGGCCTCAGGAAGCCTCAATCATAGCAGAAATCAAAGAGGGAAGCAGGCATGACACATGGTGAGAGAGGGAGAAAGAGAGAGTGGAGGAGATGCCAGGCTCTTTTAAACAACCAGTTCTGCCATGAACTGATATTCCAAGCCATTCATGAAATATCTGCCCCTATGACCCAGACACCTCCCAGTAGGCCCTACCATACTAGGGTCATATTTCAACATGAGATTTAGAAGAGACAGATATCCAAACCATATCAATGCCTTTTATAGAATAGTGTGTAGCATGAGAAACTACTCTTTGACTGCATATACTTTTATTGTATTTTGTTAATTCTATGAATTTTCAATTTATTTCAAAAATTTTAGTGTTTTGTTTTATTTGTTAGAGTGAACCGTTGGATTGCAGTGAAGATGATTTATTTGAAGACAAACAAGAGAATCGTTACTTGGTGATTCCACTTCTGGAAAAAAGAGTGAAAGTTAGTGTCTGTGTTTGCTTTTTGCTTTTGTTTTCTTGATTAGCTATTCTACATGAAGTAAATGACATTGAAAGAAGGGTCCTTTAAGTATAAGCAACTCTCTGCTTATTTGGCCCCTCTGTAAAAATGATTATAGCATTTATTACTTCTAATTGTATCATTTAAAAATGGTATCCTTTTGTAATAAGAGTATAGATTTAATAAGCCTCCTTCATGTGAGAAAACATAAGAAGCTTACTTTTGGAAACATATTTCTTCTGGGATCAGTATACCACAGTATCTCTTTTAGAGCAGCAGTTAATATTGGAAATTGTAACATGTTCAAAACATGAATAACCTACCTCTATGTTTTCCATAAAACCTCCCTAAAAGATGTTTGTTTTTCCCCACATGTATCAAGGTAAAGTTCATTACCTGTGAAATACTGAGACGTTCAAAGAAATATAAAGAAATTAATGATTACCTGTGATTCCACTCCTGAGAAATAACCAATTATAACACTTTGGCATGTATATTTCTGCAGATTTTAAAATGAGTATGTACAAGTGTTCATGGAAATGTGATTATAAGATGTATATTCTTGGCCGGGCGCAGTGACTTAGCCTGTAATCCCAGCACTTTGGGAGGCCGAGGCGAGTGGATTGCCTGAGCCCTCAGGTTCGAGACCAGCCCGGGCAACTTGGCGAGACCTTGTCTCTACATTACAAATCAAAAACTAGCCGGGTGCGGTAGCGCACGCCTGTAGTTTCGGTTACTTGGAAGGCTGGGGCAAAAGGATCACCTGAGCCCAGCGGGTCAAAGCTGGGGTGACCCTGAGCATGCCACTGCACTCCAGCCTGGGTGACTGAGTGAGACTCTAGCTAAAAAAAAAAAGAAAAAAATGTATATTCTTTTGTAAGCTGCCTTTGTCATTTATAAAAATTTTCAAATATACAGCAAAGTTCTAAGAATACAGTAATTATCTCTGTATCCCCACATTCATTCAACTATTGCTACTTATTTCATATTAGCCTTGTCTGTTTGTTATATGTGTGTGTACATTTTTATAGAACCATTTAAAGGTTGCAAATATTATAATACTTTATTACTATATATTTTAGCAGAAGTCTCCAAAAATAAGGATATTCTCCTATATAACTACAATACTATTATCATACTTAGAACATTAATAATGATCCCTTAGTCTTATTTGCTATCTTGTCCATATTCAAATGTGTCTAGTAGTCACAAAAATGGGTTTTTTTATTGCTTTTTTTTCCAGGAGCCAATTAATCAAAAGTTTACATTTGCATTGGACTATATCTCTCATTGATCTTTTTATCTAGAATAATTCCTCCTACCCTCTTTTTTAAATGACACTAATGAAGAGACCAGGCCAGTTGCCCCTCCTTTTGGATTTGTTTGACTGTTTCTTTGAGTTATCATTTAACTTTTTCTTCTGTCCCTGGAGCTGGTAAACTTTTTCTGAAAAGGGCCAGATAGTAAATATTAATATTTTGTAGGCTCTTTTAATATTATTTTGCAACTATTTGTTAAACTATAAAGTGAACTCACTTTAATAAATGCTTATTGAACACAGATATGAATGTGAACAATGGATAAAACATCATAACAAACATAGAACCATAAAGGGAGAGACTGATATAGTAAAAAGCTTTTGTACCCTGAACAGAGTTAAATAAATAAAATGACAAATTGTGGAAAAAGAAATTGTAACACATGACAAAGGATTAATTTTCTTAATATAAATATGCATTTTTTAGGAATCTACATTTTACTTCATTTTTATGAGTAATTTTGTAACCAAAATTAGTTATTCTTTTTTAAATTTTTTATTATGATTTTAAAATTAAGATTATTTGCATGTATTTCTGGGGTACAAGTATATTTTTGTTACATTGATACATTGCATTGTCGTGCAGTCAGGGCCTTCAGTGCATCCATCAATGGAGCAACACCCTATGTGTACATTCTAAATGTTAAGAATGTAAAGTGGCCCAACTTTCTCCAAGGGAAACTTGCTATAACTATGTCTTTTTATTCTTGCAGTTTTACTTCTAGAAATCTGTTCTAAGGGTGATAATGACTTTATAAGAATGTTTATGTGGTGTTTATAAACAACAATATTGACCAGAATTTAAATATACATCATTAGGAGTATGGTAAATAAATTGTGATATACCTCAACCATGCAGTTGTCAAAAAGAATAAGGTATATTTGAGGCCAGGCACAGTGGCTCACAGCCGTAATCCCAGCACTTTGGAAGGCCAAGGCAAAAGGATTCCTTGAGGCCAAGAATTCAAGACAGGTCTGGGCAACATAGTAAGACATCATCTGTTAAAAAAAAAAAAGAATAAAGTATATTTTTATACTGATAGAAATGATGCCAAAGTGGTTTAATTTATGAAAGCATAACTTTATGAAAGGTTTAATTTATAGAGCCGGATCAACTTTCCTGATTAAAACTTAAAGTGATCAATGAAATATTTTTTAAAACCTTCTTAAAAGCTTCCAAAAGCTGCATACATTATCAAGCCAAACTTTCAAGGCTGGAATCCAGGGAGATAAGCAGAATACTGATGCTACTTTTTGCCCTCAGAGCATGAACCTAAAGTGGTTCTCCTGGCACCTGGCAGAAACAAACAAAATCCTCTGTGGAAATACACAGGCCTCAGAAATCTCACAAGTAATTTTTCAAAGAAAACGAACTGTCCACAGAATAACTAAGCTCCTAAAGAAACAAGGCATCATAAGTAATTATTCACAGAAAATAAGCAAATAATGTTTCTGTCAACTAAAAACACATTGAAATAATAGATGGCTTTAACAGTTAACTCAGAGATGAAAGAGATGCGGAGCAAATTAGTAAACTCAAATATATTAGAAAAATTAACAAAGTTCTAAGAACTAGAAGACCTTTTAGAGATGAACAAGTATACCTTCTCCCCATTTTACACATGAGGAGACAAATGGAGAGCCAGGTAGGTTAAGTGACTTAGAGAGCTAAAATGAGAGTTCATTTCACTGTTCTTTCTCCCATGAAATTTGTTTTCCAGTCAGCTGCTAGAGGGGAAATGAGGAGACCAGGACCTTAAAGAACCTTGGGCACGTGTATACAGATGTTCATAGCAGCATTGTGTGTAATACGCCACAACTGGGCGTAACCCAAATACCCGTCAACAGGAGAACAGAGAAGTAAATTGTATTATATGATGGAATACAGTAGAGCAATGGAAGAAATGAACTACCACTAACAGTGACAACATGGATGACTGTAAAACCTAATAATACAGAAGGGTTCCATTTATATAAGGTTCAGAAAACCTACAAGAAGCTAAAAATATTCCTTAGGGATTCATACAAAGATGGTAAAATTAAGAAGAAAGGAAAGGAAGTTGTCTTTAAAGGCCAGGATAGTGTTGCCTCCAGCGGAGAAAGGGTGGTTTATGATTGTGGAGGGCCCCTGGGAAACTCCTAGAGTGCTACTTTTTGACTTGAGTAGAGTTACATGGATGTTGACTTCATTATTAGTCTGTAAAATGTTTTTTTTTTGTATTGTGCACTCTTCTGTTGTATGATAGAGATCATGATAAAGAACAAAAAAGCAAGGTTCAGTGTAATGCAGCGCAGTATGCTTGTATATTTGGTTTGGGTGGGTTTTTGCTCATGCGGAGGAGAAATAAAGCATTCCTTAACATGTACAAGGGAAAGTTCTGGGAAGGTAAACAACCTATTACCTGTTGAAATGTGATTGAGCATCTAGGAAGAGAAGGTGAGGTATACTTTTCATGTATTTTTTCAATTTTTTACCATGTGCTTATTTTTGTAGTTTTGTAACAAAATTTCATGACATAGATTATTTAACTAGTCTAGTGGTTCACTATTTTGTTCTGGAGTGGGAGTCGTGTTAAGAACAGGAAGGAAGAGAGAATACTGATAATTTTTGAGGGTGCATGTTCAATCTGTCCACATAGTCCTTTCTTCAACTCCCTACCCTTCTGGCATCTCATGTTGCTGCCTACCTCTGATGGGCACATCACCCTCCCCCTAAGTCATGAATTCCTGAGTGAATGAGTGATGGAGTGTGAATTATGTGGATCCCACAGAACTAGGTCAACATAAGAATTTTTTAAATATTAGCTAGACATTTTACGTGCTTTGTGCAATGAGGTACAACATAGAAATAATTCAGTCTTCACCCTCCAGTTTCTATTCATTGATTAAAGGAAAAAGAACTTACCTGCCTTGCAATTTAATTTAAAAGAAAGGAATCCAAAACAGGGATGCGTTTTGTTTTTTAAATCTAGAGAAACATATTTTATTAAAAACCAGATTAATACTTAAACAGCCTCAGATATCCATCTGAAATGAAGCAACTTCCATCAGTTCAATGATATGACTTTAAATTTTCAGTAGCAAAATATATTTCATGAATGTTCCATCCTTAGTGCTGAAATCTATTTATCTGGTATAATAAAAGGAACGGATTGCTTTATGCCCAGTTCAGAGCCAAGTTATTATTTTTTTCAGTAGTTTTCAGTATTTTCTGTAGAATCATACCTAGCACTGGGTTTATTAACACAAAAAGAAGCATATGACAGTTTTGGGGCTATTATGTGTTATCTTTAAAATTTTGCTTAAAGGTTATATAAACAGAAGATTTCAAGCAGTAGCAAATTAAAAGTGATCATTTCTATTCATTTTGATGTCTTTGCTTATGTGGATGCTTTGTTTTTGAAGTAGTTTATTTCAATAACAAGAGAAACTTTTTGTGGACTTAGGAGTATTAGTGGGCATTGATTTTTATTCATACTGACTCTTAGTTACTTGTTAACTCAGTAGTGAAACAAATGCTAATGGATTGGCATTCTCAATTTGATACATAAAATCTATATTGCATTTGTTTGCTGTAGTTTCCTCTGAAGAAAAAAGTTACATTTTTTTGTACTTGAACATTTAAAATCTATAAATAAGACAGTTTTGCTCTAAAAAGTATTCTCTGTATTTGCTATAGAAAATGGATTAATAAGTGCATATGGAGAAAGTGCTTCCTGAATTTATGTTATGTTTGGTTTCATTTGAAATTTTGTCTTTGGCAACTATTTTTCTTTTTACTTTACAGGATGGTTTTTCTTCTTTTCGGGAAATACAGAAGCATCTCTTGCTTCAGGACAGAATTATTTCAAAATCTAGGAAAGCTTTAATAAACCTGGTTCAGGGGAAAGATGATAGTGCATCAAGTGCAGAGGAGGTAAAATTAATCATGACCATTTTATTGTTTTATGAATTGAAAATCTGTAAGCCATTGAAGAGTTATTTAAATCGGAATATTGGAATATATTAGAAAATGCTGCTCAGTGGATCAAAAAGAAAAGTGGCAGAGATTATAATGGTGGACTTTTATGACATTGAAAAATATTTGATTAAGGAGCTAATATTTTACCAATTTGCATATAATTCTGTAGGTTATTAAAATCTGTTATCAGGAAGCTTGGGAAGCAAGTCCTTTTGTTTAAAAAAGATTTAACTACTAAAGTTTTTTATTTGTATGGCTTGAATAAAAATTGCTTTTAAGTGAATTATGTATTTTCTGACTTCTGAAATAAAATCTACTGAGCATTGTGTAACTGTATTCGTAATGACATAATTTCACCAGTAGTGTAATGATTGTTCTTTCGGTCTGTTGCATTGTTTCTTTTTTTAGCAAGAATTTTTGTTTTATTTATTTATGTTAAAACATTTGGTTCAAGTTTTTAAGAGACAGGATCTCTCTCTGTCTCTCAGGCTGGAGTGGCACGATCACAGCTCACGCAGCCTTGAACTTCTGAACTCAAGCCGTACTCCTTCCTTAACCTCCCAAAGTGCCGGGATTACAGGCATGAGCCACTGTGGCTGGCCTGCATTGTTTATTTTTAAATATGTTTTTTTCCTCTAGTAAATGTTCTTACATTGCTATTATTTTTAGTCCTTCTATCATATATATATATTTATTTTTCATATTTATCACATTTATATATGTACATATATATATTTTTAAATCCAGAATCTTTACTCTGTAGCCCAGGCTGAAGTGCAGTGGCACAATCACAGCTCACCACAGCCTCAACCTACTGGACTCAGGTGATCCTTCTACCTCAGCCTCTCAAGTAGCTGGGACTACAGGTGCGTGCTACCACGCTCAGCTAATTTTTTAATTTTTTGTAGCGATGAGGTCTCACTGTGTTGCCCAGGCTGGTCACGAACTCCTGGGCTCAAGCAATTCTGCCTCGGCTTCCTAAAAAGTGCTGAGATTATAGGATTGGTCCACCATCCCTGTCCTGTTTTTTTTTTTAAATAATTTTACTATCTTTTTTCTTGTAACAGACCATCATAAGAACCTCTTCAGGTCATTTGCATTACTTATACCAGCACGGTAATGTAGAAAGTTAACAAAAACCGCTCAAACTTCCTAAAAAATGGTATTTATTCAGATTAATTCCACATAGAGAAAGACACAGCATAGCAAAATTATAACTAAATCAAGGAAAGCTGGATACAGAAAGTTAATGTTGCATTTTATTCCCTCAAGTCTAGTGCCTAGCTCTGAGGTTCTTTTGGATTGACCATTCTTACTGTGGTTTATGCCTTGTGTCTGTATTTTGGTCTTAGCCGTAAGAGGGTTTTTGATCAAAATATCCTTTTAATGTAAAACAAAACAAAACAAAAAAACACATCACCTTGCATTTCTGTATTACTGCTCTAATTTTCTGGGAAACCTCACAAAAGTCATTCTTTTTTTTTTTTTTTTGTGAGTTGGAGTCTCACTCTG